GCTTACCGCTAATACGCCTCATGGCGGCTCACGACACGGCTCGTATCCAAAAACCGACGAGCTGGTCAATCCAGTAAGATATGTAAATCTTCCTGTTCGCTATAAACACCATGCCACATGTACAAACACCGATCATCACCTACGCCATGCACACATTGATTCTGGAACGTGAAGTTCCCGCGCCATTGCTCACTGATGAGGCTTTTCTCGAACAAAGAAGATAACCTGGCCCTTCGACACGTCTTTTACCTGTTACGTTAATATGAAAAAGTAAAAAATTACTTCGAAAGAGAATGACATACTGTTAACTGTGATTACAAAGTTTTTTATCTGCGTATACAATAAGTACACTGAAAACGCGATAATTTTAAACGTACTTGAACGAAATGAAGAACGACGACCAAACAGAGTATAAACTACACCATCACGATTTCTCACGTAGCACTGTCGTGTTATAGTATCCAATGCCACCGCTAGAGCGCTCGAGTAACCGGTAATGATAAATCTCCTCCTTGTATGGATTTAGGTCTTGCAGTCGAAATATTAGCTTTTTAAATTCATTATTCTATCTCTCTATTGTTTATTTTTATTAAATTTGTTTTTGTTTATTTTTATTAAATTTAACATTAAAATATTAAACTTTAAATCAAATTAAAAAGTTTTAAAATATAATGAATAAAATATAATATTTATTTTGTATGTTTAAAATACAAAAACTTTGATTATAATTAATGAGTTTGTTATTAGTTTTTATATATATCTACTTTTAATTAAATTATATTATATCTAATATTTTAAATAAATTTTATATTACTATATCTACTATTTTAAATTATATTATTTTAACTTAAGTAAAGTTTAAAATATATCTATTGTTATTACTATCATTGATAATATTAATAAAAATAATTTTAAGAAATAAACAATAAAATTTTCAAGTTTAAATTAAAATAAAAACAAAGTTTTAGTTGATTAAATAATTTAAAAAATTTTTTTTATTATTAATTGTATATAAAATATATAATGTCAAAAAATATAATAATATAAAATGTATAAATCAAAATAAACGATCCTAAATTCAGGCTATATTAAAAATTATGAATATGAAAATTTAAGTAAATTAAATTTCTAAAATAAAAATATTAATATATATTATAATTTCCTTTATATAATTTCAGAAATATTTGATTATATTTTATTTTCCTAATTTTATTTATGGTTTATCATTTTTATTTATTATATAAATTATTTTATTATTTTTATTTATTATAGAAATTATAAATAAATAATTTAATAAACTTCTGACATAAATTATAAAAAATAAAAAAATATATAAATTAAATTAAATTATCATTTAAAGATTAAGGATTAAAATTATTAAAATTAAAAGATAATACATTAAATATTTAATAGACATTGAAATTTAAATTATATATATATTTTTTAAGTTTAAATTATATATATAATTAAAGTTTAAATATATATATATAATTAAATTAATTAAATATATATATTAAATTTTTCTGTTAGATAAATTTTTATTTTATTTTATTTTATTTTAAATTTTTTTTATATTTTTTCATGTATATGTATATGTATATTAAAACATATAATTAGATATTTAATACATAATTAGTTATTTAACATATAATTAATTAATCATATATTTAATATAATTAAAATAAAAGAAATAGTTATATTAAATGACTTAAAATCAATTCTTATTCAATTTTCTAAAAAAAAAAATCATAATATCTATATAATTTATAAATATTTCTTTATATATTTTTTTTAAATATCATGTAATTATATTTTTTAAGCATTTAATTTACTTTTTGTTCGTCATGAAGCGATTACGTAATGTATTTGTGATAATTTCAATAATAAATAATTGTATTCGATACAATTGTCTAAAAATTTTACTTTAAAAAAAAATATCAAAATTTAAATGAATTTTTAAATAACTTATTTATTTTTAATGAATTATAAAAGAGATTGAATTTATGTTAAACTTTATATTTAACGTTTCATAAATAAAGTTTTAGCGCTAATAATTATTTTCTTATAGTACACAATTATAGTATTATACTTATTATAGTACACAAAATATAACAATAATAATAGAATTAGTTATAATTACTATTCGAAATGTATTTAAGAATTCATACATATATGTATATAGTGTAATTATAAATATAATTTGATAATATAACAATTGTTACAACATTTGTATACTTTTCTAATCGAAAATAATTATATAATACATATTAATAATTTAGATTTTATATTTATTTAAATTATAATCTTTAAATTATAATCTATTTAATATATTTAATATTTTACATTATATTATATTATAATTCTTTTCTTTTATAATTTTACTTTTATTTATTTTATAATAATAAATCAAAATAAATATAAATTTATTTTTATTATATTAATTTATATTACGTTATATTATATTATATTATTTATGTTATATTAATTATATTATATTATATTTATATATTAATAATTAATAAATTATATTATATTAATTATTTCACAAATTATAGTAAAATAAGCAATATAATATAAATCTAAAAACAATATTAAAAAGTTATAGAATCTAAATAGTTTAAAATTAATTATTAATTATTAAAATAATTCATATATTCTTTTTAATTAGAATTAAGAATTTTAATCATTTAAAATATTTTATAATCTCTTCTTATATACTTAAATACATTTCAATAATTTGAATATTTACATTATGATATTTATTTTTTATTTTAAAAAAATACATAGAGAAAATATGTATATATGTTTAACATAAAGTAATGAATCACAAATAACTAAGTTTTAAAACTGTAAATATAAGATTTTTTAAAAATAGGAATTATAAAAAGTATTGTTTATTATATCATATAAAATTAAATAACATAAATATTTAATTTTATTATTTTTCATTATATTTTAATATATTATACTCAATATATAAAATGACAAGTAAAAATAAAAAAGATAATAAAAAATAATTTAAAATTTTTTATTTTTAAAATTTTAATTTAAATTATAAGAAATTTGTAATTTTTTTTTCTCTATGAATTTTCATTTATTAATTTAATATGATAATATATTTTGATATAATATATTATCATTAATATATATTAATATATTCATTTAAAAAAAACAACATAAAAAAAATAGAACTAGCACATTTATTTTACAATGATATCTCATTGTAAAGTCAATAAGTCAATGAGCAGTCAACATATATTATAGTATTGGCAAAGTACTACATAGTAGGCTTTACAATAAGTACTGTCGAAGCTGGTAATAGGTTGACGTTGTACGGGGTTACTATGACAACAGACTATAGGCTTTTTCAATCTCTTCCCTTCTAGTATTAGCCCTTATACTTTTCTTATATTCTTTCTTTCATTCTCGTTTCTGTCTTCTTTCTTTTTTTTCCTTTCTTACCTTGATGCTATAAGTTTTATTTTAAATATATTTACTATTTTCAATATTCACTTATCGCTATATGACTTCTCATATAATTTCAATTGAAAGTTTGTCGTCATATTTCTTATTTATTCTAATATATTTATATTATATATTAAAAAAATTTTGTTTTTAATTGTATATAAAATCTTTATTATGATTATTTCGTTTCTATTTATTCTTATACATCTTGTTTTTTTTTTATTATTTCAAAAAATTTATATTTTTCAAAATTTATTAAAGTTATCATAACATGAAATTGAAAACGTATATAATAAATTATTTCATTCAAAAAAATTATTTGATATACAAAAATATAAATGAATCGAGTTCCATGTAAAATAAATAAAATTTGAAACATAGAAATATCATTTAGATTTATATTTGAATAGATTCTCATTTTTCATATTTATTTTCTTTTCTTTCAGTTCTATTTTTTTTTCTTATAATTAACTTTAATTTTAATTCTAATTAATTTTTTCTTTTATTTTTGTATGTTTTTATTCATTGAAAATTAATTATTAATGTTCTATTTAATAAATAAAACATATATAATTTATATTATCTCTCTATCTTGTGTATATATATGAATATCATGCAATATATATATATATATCACTAAAAGAATAATAGGAATATTGAAACTATACATATTAATTTTATCTATAATTGAATAATAATCAACCATAAATAATTACTTTTTTAATGATATACAGTAACTTCTTTATATTAATATAAACTTTATTATTTAAAAAAAGACATTTATATTAAATATTCTTAAAAAATGTTTCAGCTTTTATATATAGTGCATATATGAATATATTATATTATATATTATATTTATGTTATATTTTTATTATTATTTATAATTTATATTATATGAATTATAATATTATATATGATTTTTTCCACTTCAACATGGTTAATGAAAAAAATAATAAATATAAATAATAAAAATTTTTATTTTTATTTATAAAATTTTGTTTTGTTTATTGCATTGTTAATCAATACAAAAAAAAGAGCTAATATAGTTCGATATTTATTACAAACAGTTTTTTAATATCCATAGGATTAATTTGTTATAATATTTAGTTTATAAAACTGGAATGATAAATCAATATGAAAAAGATATAATATAAAAGTTTTACATACATACTATTCATACACATATTATTTTTTAAAAAATTCTTTTTTTAAAATATTATAATACATTTAACTGTACACATATAAAATAAGAAATAATAAAAGAAAATTATCACTTTGGTTAATATAAACTTTCAATGATTTGCACAACATTTAAAAATCTTATAACTAAAAATCACAATATAATTGGCCTGCAAAATAAAAATTTTAAACATATTTCATAGTAAGCTATTAATAATCCAATTGATAATATATAATATATATTTAAATATCTATTGATGATTTCAGTCTGTAATTAATATTATATTTTATTAATTAAAATTAAATAATTGCATATTTACTAAATAGGAATAATAAAATGCTTAAAAGTTTAATTTTTTTAATTTTAAATATTTTAATTTAATTGCTAAAATTTTGGTTATTAAATATTGGAATTTAATTGCTACACATTTCTAAATTGTGTATACAGATCTCATTATGATATGGAGGAATCGAACATTTACGTACATTATCATATATCATATATGTTATACATTCATATTATAAGAGAAAAGAGGAAGATTATATAATATTAGGGAAAGTAAATGCTACCGTTTCTTTTTCATGCCTTTACGATATCCTTTACCAAACCATCCAGGATTTTTAGCAGCTATTGGAGGATCTGCATGAATTACTAATGTTTTTGTATCTTTTATTTGTTTACTTTCTGTTCCTATTAAAGTAGAATTGTCTGCTTCTCGTTGATAATAAAGACAAGTAAGAGATCCTTCATTTTCCATGCAAAAAGTACATGTAGGTTTAGGTTTTGGCACATCTGAAGTCATATTTGGTACTTGTACAAATGGATAATAAAAAAGTGGTGTTAGTTGAGGACACATATACATTGGTGGAAATGGTAATCCCATAGATAAAAACGGTAATGCAGTAAAAAATGGTGCTGAATAAGCAGACATTGATTCAGTTACTCTTTTGGGTGAAATGCATTCTTTTTCTTTTGTTGGAGATGATATACCTTCATGAAAATTATCATCGATTTGATTTAATTCTTTATGAATAATATTAGTTGGCTCTTCCAAACAAGGTTGACTTGTTGTGTGTTGTTCACTATTTCTAAGTCGTACAGCATGAAAAAAAATAGGATCCTTGGCACGATTATATTGCGGTATTTCTAATCCAAGATGAGTCATGATCCTTTTCATAACTTCATCGCATTTTCCATTTATTTTTAAAACTGCATTTTCATCTTTTGGAGTCCATTGTAAATTTACAATATACAATGATGGACGTTTATGAATTGGTCTATCCATTTGCCACAACCATGGATATTTCTTCAAAACTTTTAAACTAGAACCTAAGCATAATATAACATCTGCTTGTTTTGCAGCTCTTGTTGCGCCATTCCAATTAATTGGCCAAGGAAGATTGCCTCTTTCACCAAAATGAACAATAGAATCTTGTAAAACAGAATTACATCTATGGCATAATCTTCCAGTACCATGAGAATATCGAGCTGTTTTTTCAGTAACATCAAATAATCTCCAATATTCTCTATATGGTTTACATATTCTACAAACTTCTACATACATATTGCCATGAACTTCAGATAAAAGTGTACGAGGTATTCCACTACGCAAATGAAGTCCATCACAATTTTGAGAAACTATATGTTTTAAAACTCTTGCCTTATATAAAGCATAAAGAGCCATATGTGTCAATGTTGGTTCTGCTTGACTAAGATCATGATTTCTGTAAATATATAAATTTTAATTAATTATATTCTAATATTCAATCAATTTTGATATTACCCGATATCTTTTCCTTGTTGTAAACGAGTCCAAACACCATTTGTTCCTCTATAATCAGGAATAGAAGCAGCTGTACTAATACCAGCACCAGTATAAACAGCAAGTGATGTTGCTCTGCTAATTGCAGCAGCCAATCTCATACATTTTTCTTCCAAAATTTCTGGTGCATCTTCTATTTCTTCTAATCTTGCTTTAACTCTATGTCTTTTTTCTTGTCTAAAAGATTAATAATTTTTATCAAGTTAAATATATATATAT